ATGTACTATATATACATTTGGAAATATATATATGTAATTTTTTTGTATGTGTGGGACGGGGCGATTGCATGTTGCCCCGCTCCTCACCCCGTTTTAGGTGGGGGGGGGATTTTCTCCCCCTACCCCACCCCATTTCTACCCCCGTGGGGCGGGTGCTCTTGTTGCCACCCTTATTTATAGGTTGCTTTTCGGTAATTATCTATTTTACATAAAATTACAAAGGGCTTATGTCAATGTTTTAAAATATTAAGGGGTCATGTGTTAATGTGCAAAACTATACAATTTTATTACTAAAAAAAAAAATAAGATCAAAAGCCTCTTTGGCGCTCAAACTTTAATGATTTTATATTGTTAATCCTTTAACTCTTAGTTGTATACTTTTGGCTCCTAAATGCATACTTGTATTCCTTCTCTCAGTTTGAGGAGTTTAAATTGACAAAAAAGCATAACGTGTAATGAACGAAGCAAAATAGAAAGTTTTCATGTTGAAATAGTAAATGAAACAACTCCAAATTAGGGTTTTTAATTTAAAGTTAATTAGGATAAATAATTCGTATATCTAGAATCTTAATGACATGTGTAGTTTATCTGCATAAAAGTATTGAAAAATTTGACACCTATTGGGTTTGAATTAACTGGGAAAACTTAAGATAGTGCAAAGTTGAATCAGAAATGTTTGAAGTATTTCATGCCAAAACTTTGTTGATTTGAACTCTCAACACTTGAAGGAACATTTTGGTATAAAATTCAAAAAAATTGGTGAATGATGTGTAAAATTACGATAGGACTACCACATTAATTTGACTTCAGATCTATTCTTGATTACTTAAATTCATTAAGCATAAATTTGAACTCTATGGGAAAATCGAAAGGCTATAATTTGATCAAATTTCGACAATGATAAAATAACAAGAGTAAATAATTGCAGTGGTTAAGACTTGATTGAGAAAAAAGAAGTTCAAAATGATATCGTTTTGAGCTAGTTCCACTAATTAGAGTTAACGCTTGACCTAGTTCCACTAGGTTAACGGTTTCAAATTGATGGAAGGGCCATAACTCATAAGCATATGGTTTTAATAGTTCATGGTCTAAAAATAGGGAAAATACCGGTTTTCATCCCCAAATTTTGGGTACAAAACACATTGCGTCCCTCATCTTTCGGGCATGATATATTTGGTGTCTGAATTAACAATTTTTGACCAAATGTCATCCTCAGACGGCAATTTAGCCAACCTTTAACGGAACCGGTCACGTGAAAATCACGTGACCGTTAAGTAAATGTGGCTATCCGAAGCAAAATCAGGTGGAAAATGACGTTGTCTTCACTTTCCCTTTTTCTTTCACTTCAACAACTTCCTCTGCAAATTTCCAAGACTAAGCTCCTACTGCAAATTTCTCCGAGAGTATCTTCCAATTATAAATATATAATTATAATTATATAATACATATAAATATTACTTATACTAATATTTTATATAATTATAATGTATATTAGATATTAAATTTAATCATTATATAACATTATATTCATAATAATAAATATAATTATAATTATATAATTTATTAATATTATATACACATATATATTATAAGGGATAATTTCAGAAACCTCCCCTTAATTAGCTTATGGAAAAATGGGAAAATGGATAATTTATGGAGGAAAGCCATAAAGAGCTGGTGTTTTATTGGAGAACGGGTTTATTTTTATTTTATCTGATAAATAAATTTGTTTATGAAAAAATGGATACTGTATTCTTCTAATGGAGGAAAGCCATAAAGAGCTGGTGTTTATTGAAAAATGGGTTTATTTTTATTTTATCCGATAAATAAATTTGTTTATGGGAAAATGGGTACTCTGTTCTTATAATGGAGGAAAGCCATAAAGAACTGGTCGTTTATGAGAAAGTGATACTTTATAGAAAGTGACCGCGATTTGGTTTATGAAATTATCCCAAAAAAAATTTAGAATGAATATGTTTATTTAATTAAATAATTATAATATATATTTATATAATACATTATATAATTATACTAATATTATTATAAAATATATAATTATAACTATATAATATATATAAATATTAATTATACTAATATATTATATGATTATAAAGTGTATTATATATTAATTATAATTTTTAGTATATATTAGTATATTTATAATAATAAATATAATTATAATTATATAATATATTATTACTATATGCACATATATATTATAAATATATGCACATATAATATACATTTATAAATATATATATATATAAATATATTATAGTTATTAGGGTATAGTTATTATAGTTATTACCCTAAATATATTATAGTTATTAGGGTATATACTAGGGGTGGCAATTTCTGACACGACCCGAAAACACGACACGAACCTAACACGAAATTAATGGGTTTGGGTTGAAGTTTTGGGGGTTCGGGTCAGAATCGGGTCGAACCCGATGAACCCAAAAAGAAAACAGGTTGATTTCGGGTCAACCCGTGGTGACCTGATATGACCCGATATGACCCGTTTACAAATTAAAAATAATTTAATAAACATAAAAATTATTTTATCTAAATAAACTAAATCATTCTTTTTTTTCAAAGGCATTAATTACTTAATCCTAAATGAATTTATTTACCTTGTGTGAAGTTAAAATTATTATATTTGGACAAATAATATAATTCGTTTTAATTTATTTTATATTTGGTTTGGGATAAAACACTTTTACGGTGTTTAATTTATTTTGGATTTGATTTGAAATTATTTATTTAAATTTTTATTACTTGATGATGTAATTAATTTTGTGAGAAATTGATTTTATTAGAATTTATAGTGATAAATTAATAAATTAAAATTAATTTTATGGTCATTTCGGGTCGACCCGCCAACCCAAAATTTTCGGGTTCGTGTCAGATATACTGACCCGTCACGGGTTGACGGGTCGAGTTCGGGTCAACAGATTTTTTGGCTGGTCGGGTCAGGACCCAACCCGCCAACCTGATTGGACTCGAATTGCCACCCCTAGTATATATCCTAATAATATATTTATATATATATTTATAAATGTATATTATATGTGCATATATTTTAATATATATGTGTATATAGTAATAATATATTATATAATTATATTTATATTTATTATTATAAATATACTAATATATACTAAAAATTATAATTAATATATAATATACTTTATACTCATATAATATATTACTATAATTATGTAATGCATTATATAAATATATATAATAATTATTTAATTAAATAAACAAATTCATTCTAAATTTTTTTTGGATAATTTCATAAACCAAATCGCGGTCACTTTCTGTAAAGTATCACTTTCCTATAAAAGACTAGCTCTTTAGGGCTTTCCTCCATTATAAGAACAGAGTACCTATTTTTTCGTAAATAAATTTATTTATCGAATAAAATAAAAATAAACTCGTTTTCCAATAAAACTTCAGCTCTTTATGGCTTTTCTCTATTATAAGAACAGAGTACTCATTTTTTCATAAATAAATTTATTTATCGGATAAAATAAAAATAAACCAGTTCTCCAATAAAACACCAGCTCTTTATGGTTTTTCTCCATAAATTATCCATTTTCCCATTTTTCCATAAGCTAATTTAGGGGAGGTTTCTGAAATTATCCCTTATAATATATATGTGTATATAATATTAATAAATTATATAATTATATTTATATTTATTATTATGAATATAAGGTTATATAATGATTAAATTTAATATCTAATATATATTATAATTATATAAAATATTAGTATAAGTAATATTTATATGTATTATATAATTATAATTATATATTTATAATTGGAAGAGGGGGTTTACTCTCGGAGAAATTTGCAGTAGGAGCTTAGTCAGAGGAAGTTGTTGAAGTGAAAGAAAAAGGGAAAGAGAAGACAACGTCGTTTTCCACCTGATTTTGCTTCGGATAGCCACATTTACTTAACGGTCACGTGATTTTCACGTGACCGGTTCCGTTAAAGGTTGGCTAAATTGCCGTTTGAGGATGACATTTGGTCAAAAATTGTTAATTCAGACACCAAATGTGTCATGCCCGAAAGATGAGGGATGACACGTGTCTTGTGCCCAAAGTTTGGGGATGAAAACCGGTATTTTCCCTAAAAATATACAAATGATAATTGGATGGCTAAAATTATTATAGATTGTTAAAATTTGAGGGTCAAAACTCAAATGAACTTTTTACCCAAAAAAATAACAAGACTAAAATTTTAAAAAAGTTTTTTTAAAAAAAAATAGAGGTGCGCGCGCCATTTTTTTTTTGCCTGTGCTCTCAAATTTCTAAACAGCAAAACAACTAACAAGCTCCTCCTCATCTCAAGCCGCACAAACAACAGACTCCATTCAAATCCATCTCTCTCTCGTCAGAATTCGATCCCGCAGAAACCGTAGGAGCGGGGACTTTGAGCTCCTCTCTTTTCCTTCTGAAATTTCAAAAATCTTCCCTAATTTCAGCTATTTTTTGCATTTGTTTAATTTGCCTCACGTACCTGCGTAGCCAACTTAGATATCTGGTTCCGATTGAATGTGATAGAATTCTGTGAATTTGATGTGCTGACTGGAATGTGATAAAATTCTGCGTTGAATTTTTTTTTTTAAGAATCTCGATGCCCAAATTATGTTTGCAGAAAGTCCTGGCTCAAATTATGTTGGCCAATTTGTAGCATTCTTAACCTCCCCTCCCCCTCTCCCACACCCAAAAAAAACAAAGATTTATATGTGAACTCTCTATCTTTCTGACTAGTTTCTCTCATTAATTTCTTGTTTAAAACTTTATTTTGGTAAGGGTTAATAGCTCATCAAGAGTAAATTGGTAGGGGTTAGGTGGGGGGAGAAAAGGAGGGGAGGGGGTGGCAGCGGGAGGGAGTAGAGGGCAGTGGTGGGCCTGGGTGGGGAAGAGTGAGAAGAGAAGGGGGCAGCGGTGGAAGTTGGTGAGGTTTCTACAGTGTTAGTTTTTTTTTTTTTTTTCCAAGAAACACCACGAGCAACACCCAATTCAAACGGACCTTTAATCATATTTTCTATTAAGTAGATGTTTGCTTTCTTTATTCCTTTATCTTGATTGGCTGTTAAGAACACTGCTGCATCATATACTTGCATCAATTGTGGACGAAGGACTTCAGTTCCATATCGTGCACAAGGCTTTCTCCTTTTTTTCTGTGTAAAAAAAAGCATTAATGTAAAGTTTAAATTGTAGTCACCTTAGCTAGCAAGTAGGTCTGCAGGGTAGAATTGTACGTGTTCAAATTCCATTGTCTGTACACTTGTCCCGTGTTGATGTGGTGAACTAATTTAGATTCCTAAATTAAGATATTAGCAAGGTCATATGTTTTGCTCATAAGAGTTTAGATGGACTTAGCAGCATCAATTAAGTGAATTTACAGAAATCATAGTCTTATAGAGAGTGGAAATTTTGGGTGGAATGTAGTGAGGATGTAAATCTTTGTCTTGCTTTCCTTTTCCCCAAGTCCAGTCTCCTATTTCCTATGATCAAAACACTTAAATTATATGAAGTTTCTCCTCAATAATCCTTTCCTTTGTTTCTCAATATATTTCTTTGACTTGTATCATCCTTTATACTTCCTTTTTGAACTAATATATAGGTCTAGTTATCTCTTATAGCGATACCAGTCCTCTGATACCAGATTTTGGATCCAGTGAGTACAAGTTTTTCGATGGGACTTAGCTAACTATATTTTGGATGTCTTTGTTCTTTGTTCTATTCTAATTGCATGCTGCTATTTATCGGCATTGACTAATGCAGAAATGCAGATTTATTTATAGAGAGTTGCCATCCCAAGTAGCTCAATCGTGGAGGATGGAGATGGGTGGAATACTTAAAGGCAATCCAGTTCCAGTTTAATAGATGCAATGCTTTTAGGCCTACTTGAGCTATGCGAGATGTAAATGGATAAGGTATGGACACAGAGCATAGCAAACCATTGGTTATTTATGTTGCTGGAGTTGAACAATCATGTTTATACAGCTAGAATAAAATACCATTAAATTAAGGACATCCACTTTCTTCTTTTTATTTTTTATTTCTATTTTTTTTCCTCTTTGATATTTAATGAAATACAGATAAGCTCATACTTCTTTGATGCACAATTCTGGTATGATGCAACTCAACTGGACAGCAGGAAAGACCTGGAGTTTGCAGCATTACAATTTACGTAAGAAAAACCATCTTTTTGACAGAAATGCTTCGGAAATTTAGTATAATAGTAGTACAATCCATTTTTACTTCAGTATCACACACAGGGAGATAGGGAGAACCCTCATTATTCTCTCTCTACATTGAGTTCAAGCATCACCACTCATAGCTAATGACATAATTACCGGCACACGCTCATGAACTATATTTATTGATAGTTGAACAGATGATAGATTTCACATCTTCTGAGCCTTCTCTTCTACAGCTCCAGCACCAAGTCTGCAGTTTAATCAATACAACAGTTAGATTGATGTTTCATACCAAGATAAATACGTATTTTTTTTTAACTTACAGTCAGCATCAGTTTTGATCCAGTGCTCCCTATTAACCATTACACGGCCGCTGTCTGCCCGTTTAAAAGATAGCACAGATTTGGAGATTTCCTTCTTTAAATCGGACTTGTTATGAGACCTTTTTTTCCCGGTGTCTTCCGCATAATGATTGTTGGACTTGCTGGAGTTTTTCTTGCTTTTGTCTTCATCTGCTTGAATGAACTGCTTCTTGGTTGTGAATCCTTCTGGATGAACTTTTCGGTGGAAGATTTTCATGACCTGCATGGACCATGCAGAGATATTATTAACTCATAATGTTCACAGTCCTCTTACAGTTACCACAACAAAAGAGTGAACTAGTTGTAGTTTCGTTTCTGTAAGGTAAGTTATAAAATGGCCAATTTTCTGTTGGAAATTCATCTGAAATCTTCTTCTAGGGATTCTTAAATTTGTGGTGTCTTAGATCCTACCTCTCAAAGTACACAACATGGTGATTCCACCTTCATAGGACTTTTATACACTTATTATATATTGACCTGTTTGAGGTAGTGCATATTGCTGCCTAAATGTTGACCAAGAGTCTTTCATCATTTAGATCACCATGATTAATTCCATTTGCCTCAGATAATATAGACTCTGACATATTAAATAGATCCGGTCATTGGTGATGTCAAGTTATTCTGCATGTTCAGGAGGCATTTAAGTTTTTGCATGACTTAGGTCATAGAGATAATTGTGGGCCATAGAGGTAAGACTATTTTTGCGAACAATCCTTTCAAATGGAAGAAAGAAGTAAAATCTATGAAGGCAATTATGAACCCAAAAGAGCAAGAGCAGGTTTGGCCCCATTTAGCTCAGCTTGTTATGGAGATATAAGACAGGAAAAAAGCCATCTTTAGGGTTGCACTGACCTTAGCAACCTTGCTATAGGAACAATTTACAAGTTCAATTAATGTGGGAAATGATTAGAGCACTTAGTATATGATACCAACCTTAGGGAGTTTCCTCTTGATAGCTTCAGATTCAGTTGCTTTTTCTGCGGAAGCAGTTGTACAACTACTTGCCGTTGACTGAAGCTTCTTCAGAATCTTCTTCATGAAGTGTGAAGCATGCCTTTTCTTAGGTTGATAGTCTGTGCAATCATACTTATTTGTAGACTTCTCACAACTGGTGTCAGTTCTCCTGAAGAGCTCCTCAAGTGATGTCTTTTCTTTCTTTGGCACTGCAGCCATTTCGGGCAATTCAATGGAAGAACCAAAGAGATATGTTTGCAGTGGACAAGTTGTTGAATCTGCCAAGTCTTCTGCATCTGTCTCATCATGCTGCTTGTTGCTAAAGGTAATGATGCTTGCTTGACTGCTTCTTGCTGATGATTCATCAGCAACTTCTTTGGCTTCGGCTTCAAGGAACTTTGCTAGCTCATTGTTTATTAGCTTGAGTTCATCTTCGGTTATCTTTACTTCTTTGTCGGTCATGTTTTCAAAAGGCTTTGGAAATGTCGGTGTTGGGGGCTCTGTGTTTAGTGATTCTAAACCTAGAGTACCAATCGCAAGAAAACCATGGAATAGCTCATCGGATGAGTCTTCTTGGAAGGACTCTTCAATTCCGTTTCCCTTGATTTCATTTGAGAACCTTCCACATATCCTGCTTGGCTGTCCTGACTGTGCAAAGCTATAGGTGGGCTCTGCATGGTAAAGCTTCTCATCAAATGGCTTCCTTGCCGAGTAGCAGTTAGGAGGATTTCCTGAAACAATAAATTTGAAGGTTTCAAAAGAAAGGACTAAGAAGAATTGTTAGGACTTTTCTGTGGTTCTATATCATTTTGTTTTCTATTACATGTTGGATTTTTAGAGTCAACTCTCTGGCTTACGTTCCAGACAAGATAAAAGCACTAGGGAAGGGGGTAGCCCCTTATAAGTGATCTATAAGGTTCTTATGACTTACCTGCAGTTAGTATTGGAATTTTAGTCTTTCTGTAGAAGTTTACTAGCTGATAAAAAAAAATCCTCCAAGGGAGATGTTAGCTGCCAAAATAATGTGATTGAACAGTTTTTTATCCTTGATCTAGGTTGTATAAATTCTTTCAGTCCTGGTGATCTGAGAACTATGAAAAGGAAGAAAAGAAATTCAGGAAATGCAGATGAAACTTGTGATTGATTTGGAGCTATATTGCCATAGAATGGAACATGAGTCAATTACCAGTTGTAAAATTCATCATTGGGTCTGCTCTGTTTTGGTTTAGTTTTCGGTGCATCCATCCTAGTAACTGTAAAAACATATAGTCAGAAATCTTTTGCGCATACATTGGAAATCTAAAGGAATGTGTGCTAACCTTCATTGTCAATCTTCTTTAGAAGGGTTGCTGCAAGCTGACTGATGTTGGAAAGGAGCTGAATGGAGGAAATGGAAGTAAAAAGGGGAATAAGTCCTTGAAAAAGGAAGAATTGATTTATCTTGTAACCATGATTGCTTGTGCCTGAAAATCTAGGTTTTCCTAGAAGAGTCTTGGTAGATAATACTGTATAGAGGAGAACATCGAGAAAAGTACAAAACCTGTTGGCCTTCCTTGTCAAAATTGTACTATGTGGCCAAGTTGAGTTGCTGCAGACCCATGTGTTGGTGATGCTAAACTGGGATGAATTGGTAAGAAGGAGCTTGGAATGATTTAAAGTTAGTAAATATAAACTACTATGTTCTTATCTTGTACACCGTGCCTCTGATAAGTTGGCACTTGCACTCAAGAAACTTTTGCCACTTGGAACCAATTAATGTGATGTCATAAACAGATGTAATTGTGCAATATTTTGTGTGTGAGCATACACTCTGCATGTAGTAATGATCAGTACTGAGCACCAGCATGATTGGTAGGGCATAGACAGAGTAATTGGCTAGTTTATAGATTTTCTTTGAGCGGCAAGTTTATAGTTATACAGGGGTTAAAAAGATTATTGAATCTTGAAAGATATTTTATACAGTAGGACCACAATCTGGGAGTTTAAAATCTGATCTGACTGGCCGACTATCAGGTGAATCATTTTTGTGTGGTTTTATCTAGAGATCCTGATATTATAATTTCTGAAACAATTTCTAATTGGTGTTTAAGTTCAGAAATCAGTTTCTTAGCCAAAATTTGATAACAAATCTCAACAGGTGTAATTACATGTTTGAAGTATTAATAAGAGAAACTCTGGTCTATTATGCTAATTACTTTACGGATTGCACTGCAGGATTAGTTTTATTCCAAGACTTCTTCCTTCCCTGCACTACATCTTGGTTGATGAACGAAGAGTCTCATGCTGTAGCTTTTCTGCTGATTATGGTTTTGATTCATAACTAAAAGAATTCATGGTTTAAGACAAAAAGTGCTGAAGCAGCTGAGCAAAAGTTGTTGCAATGACAGGAATGTAGCTTTTGACCAGAAGTAAGCAAAAAAAAAAAAAAAAAGTTTTTTTTTTGGGCTGCAAGTAAGCAATATTTAGTGTCATACTGAATAAGTTTATTGCCTCTTATATGGCTGTGACACTCACGCAGGATGATGAAGATGCCTAAAACTGATAGGATTCGAGTGATCAGCTATAGGGAAACTGGAAAGTGTTGCTGAACTCAGCATGGATATCTTGATGCAATGTGCTTGAAGCTTTGTGTACTGCAACAGCCAAAAAGAATGTAGAGAGAAGATCCATAAGAGAGTAACACTAAAGATCCATAAGAGTAGATCAAGTGGTCATTAGCCCCTGGAAAAGAAAAACGCGAGCGGCCCGGGTTTTGATGGTCATGATTCCCTTAAGAATGTAGGGGTTCTGGTTTTTGTGGAAAACCACGAATGTTGTGCTCTAGATGCAACGGCATAAACCATGCCATCCAAAGATCCTCTTACATGTTGGATGATTGTTGGTCACGTAAAGAACAAGTTTGCAAAATTCATCTGTAGATATGGAGTATATGCAGTTTGCAGATGCAAAATATTTGAAATCAAGGGACAATTCATTGAGAAAACTCTTCATGGTATTTATGAACTTCATCTTTAAGTTACGGTTTACCGTATCTGAAAATTGTTCCATAGTTTATTATTTGTATATTTAATTATACTTCTATATTGTACACAAACACCATAATACACACGTTGTTTGTGTCTATTTTATATTCCTCTTATGTTATGGTCTGAATAGAGATTTATGCTGTGCACCAACGTGGTTTTTTCCACTTTCAGTACTTCGGTTGCCGACCTGTCGAGGGAGGACGGATGCATTATTATCTTAAACAGCTATCCTTGGAGTTTCTGGTTGCAATTTGCAAGCACGATAATCTCACGGAGTGACTCCTATCAAATCATTTTTTAAACAGGTTTGGTATTTTATGCTTAACCAAATGTATTGGAGTTGAATTATTAAGCACAAAGTTCAACGTTTATGGAACTAGGGATAATATTCTTCTGTCATATCTTGTACTAATGCGTTGGTGTTTAATGCCAAAAGGCTTGACAACTGACATTAATGATGTGGAGGAGGGAACAGAACATTTCATGACTAGTGGCTGCAGATTGAGAAAGATGCCTTTCTCATCTTTTTCAGTACACATCGTCTGCGTTCTCCTCCTCCTTGACAGAAACCATTGTTGCTTCCACTTAATTAGAATGAGCAATAGTGGCATGATTAGGGAAAAATCATCTTTGATAATATGCTCTTTCTTGAAACGACCAGACACTGGAAACAGCCCCTGGTGTAGGTATGCTGCTAGTGGAGAGTAGTTTTCCACACGCATTTCTGGTGTCATAATGAGTTAACTACCTAATCCTATTGCATGAGAGTCAAGAGATAAAAAAAAGTTGGGCAAATTCTCAAATGCCAAAAAGGGCTTTTTTTTTGGCATTGTCAAGTAGTATCCAAAAGCCGAGAGGCAAGTGCCTAAAAGTATAATTTCAGTATTCTCTGAACCAAATGTCGGTATATCCTCCTGATGGTATGTCAGAAAGGTAAGGTGTTCTTGTGAAGTGAATGTGCTCGTGGGTTCATTATTTCACCAAATGCATATTTCTTTTTTCAACCTAAAATACTAGAAAACGATGCATTTGGTGAATCAGCAAAGTTCGGGCAGAGCAATGTGGAGGGGAGTCCTCGTGCTGTTGCTTGTGCATGGGAAAGGGATGTGGAGGGATCCACAACTCCGGATCCTCATTTTTAGCTAGCAACCAAGCCGCTAGAGAACACGCCCCTTACCTTTTTTGGCGGACAAAAGGGGTGTCGTTGCGAATCAAAACAAACACAAAACTTCTGCAAAACTTCAGCAAGAGCCAAGAGGAGTTGATCAGATTTCTCGGTTGTGGAGTCAGTTCGAGTCCTAACCAGGGACAGATTATGACCAGCTTGTATCACTTTTTTAAAAAAAAAAAAAAAAAAAACTTTTATTGGGGAATCAATGTAAAGGCTGCCTGATTGAGCACATTTTGGGTATATTTCATTTGTCCCTCAAAAAACCAATCAAGCTATTGGATACTTGATCGAATTTAGTAACTTTTCAAGTTTGCCACGAGTTTGGTTCGATTATCATAAAATTTGAAATTTATATGTAAGATGTTTAAGTTACTAGAGTTTATTTTATCTTGGGTTAAGGGAGGGATAAATTGAGTGATATAGATAGAGGAAGTGTAAATGAGAGGTCAGAGTTCAAAACTTCCTACTCATACTAAAAAAAAAAGTATTTGTTTTATCTTTAGTTTGATATAACCTAATTTAAGAACAAGTCGAACTTCAACGTATTTTTAAACTTAATAGAAATAACAAATAAGTTTGAGCACCTAAATGTTTGATTTAATTAGGCTTGCTTACATCCGTAATTTCATTTTTCACTTTCTAGGGATAAACACGAAATAAAAATACTTTAGATTTTCACTCTGAGCAATGTCCACTCATCAACGTGTGGGGTTTTTGTGTCCTTCACCCTCTGTTGAGTTGTTCTAAAATATAAATAATCGGAATTTGTGAGCATGCTAACACCATTAGCTTAAACACACATTAGTTCTATATTTTTAGAAAATACCTCCTTAGATAGTTTTTGATAAGTATTATTAAAAATGAAAAATTTGATCCAAAACCTTTAAAAGTCTATTAAGATTTCTTTGACCACAAAAATTAGTATTTTCTTAAAGTGATCAAAGAATAGCTCTTAGAATCCTTCTAGCTGCTTAGTTCAAGGACCTACTCCTCAACCTAGCAGTTGGGAATGAAAATAGTAGGGGTTATGAAACGAATCGAATCCTGGACCTAGGAGTGAGTGAAAAGGGTATGAGAACGGTTGGGAGGGTAAAAAAAAAAGTAATAATAAAGAAGAAAAGGAATTAATACTTTCTTAGTCCAAAATCTGTTGTCTTACTTATTTTGTTAGTGATTTAAGGAAAAATGTTCTAAGAAAAGAGTTTAAACACACCCTTCGATCATAAATTTTCAATATTCTTGCACCAATAACTTTTACCATTAACATTAGCAATTATACAAGGTTTTCTTTTAGAAACAAACTGTATAAATGTAATGCGAAGCAGTATAAATTCAGTAGTCTACATTAATTATAAAAAATAAAAAAAAAGAGGGAGAACCATGAAAGGTACTGTTACCATTCTTTCACAATTTGCAACACCCCTGCTTTGATGGGATGTACTTGATCGAGGGCCACAAACGTGTCAGATCCGAGTGGGACTTCATAGTCCCAGGCCCAAATCCAGACTAGTGACAGCAGTTCTAGATTCGGATCCGTTTACTTGACGGCTCTAAATGTAATAGTTCCGGATGAATCGGATACATCCAAACCAAAAATTGGCCATGTTTGGATTGCCATTTTCTGTCGAAAAATTGTGTCATTTTTCGTGATCACATTTTTCTATTATCTTTTTTCCTCATATACATCAAATCGTTATAGTAATTTTTTCATGAAAAATCATGAAAAATACAATCCAAACAGGACCACCAAAGGTTTTCCCGACTATGAAATCTCACATTTGACCTCAAGTTTGGCCCTTCGAGTTGATGACCCAATATAATGTTGAGTTTCGTGCTAGGAATGACAATGAAGGCAGCGCCAGTGGGGGAAATTACGGGCTAAGCATAGTTGTCAAAATCGCGATCCGGATCGTAGGATCGTACGATCCTACGATCCGGATAACCAAAATCGATCCGGATCGTATGCAGAGTCGCAAATCATATTAATTTTTGCAGGATCGCATAGAATCGTAGCAGGATCGTGTAGGATCGTAGGATCGTAGGATCGGTAGGATCGTACGATCCTACAATTTTTTGATAAATTTGTGAAATACGAAGCTCCATTTTGCAAATAAATGAAAATATTTATTGTATATTTATAATTTATCAAAGAATTGTAACCTTTAATTGCAATTAAGAGCTTTTGGTAGGATCTTACGATACTACGATCCGATCCTACGATCCGATCCTGTGAAACTAAAATCGATCCTACGTAGGATCCCGATTTTACAAACCTTGGGGCTAAGTGCTAGGGGATTTTTCTCTCCCTGTTTTAGATGGGGAGAGGATAGGAGAGGATACGTGAACTTTGCCCTGTTGACTACCTATAATTAACGCACGTGCACACACATAATGTGAAATAAATTCTGCACTATTAATGTATATAAATAATGTTTGTTTGGATTGTGTTTTATTTCTCCAATTTAATCTGCTTACATCATCATTACAATTTCCAATACACCTTTTTATCTTCCCAATTACCTTTTTATCTCACACACATCACATCACAAAAAGTACTACAGTAAAAATATTCCAAATAAAACACAATCCAAACAACAAAAAGTACTACAGTAAAAATATTCCAAATAAAACACAATCCAAACAAACCAAATTGTGTGACATGAATTGCATGATATTTTGTTATGATAAAATATGATGCAATTTTTGTTATGAATTTATTATTGTGAAATGATTATTTCGTTATGTTAGTTTGCTTAATTTTTTTCATATACTGCATGATTTTTATAAAGACTTAATAACAATTAGTTTAGATTCTTAGTGTTATCAAATAAGGAGAAATGAATTCAAAAGATCAAGGTGTTTTCCAAATTTTATTTCAAGTTCAAGTTTTTTCTAAAAATTCAAAAGGATGATTAGTAAAACTATTATTAATTTTGTATTTATGGAAAAAATTAGATCAATTAGAAAAGAGTTAATCACACTTTATCCCCTTGGACTTTAGGGGTAGTCACACTTTACTACCGTTAACTTTATATATACACTTTACCTCCCATGAAGACTAGACAAAATTAGAAATGCATGAAAAAGTAAGTCCACTTTCTTTATCACCCTATTGGTTATGAGATCATTTATAAATTATTATTATTTTCCTTTTATTGTTAAAAAATTTATATCTTCTCTATGCCATCTACTATACCAAAATATAAAATTGATAAAAGCTTAAAAAGTTTACATTTATCTTATTATCCTTAACATTTTTCTATTAGATTAATACTCACTTTTATGTATACTTTCTTCGATTTATTAGACTTTATTCAAACAATAAGGATAAATAACAGACTAATAACAATAAATTGAGTTAGTAAAATTTTGAAAAAAATAAGATAATAGTAAATTTTTCATTCTTTAAAAAATAGTAGTTTACTACTAGTCTATATACATTGTTAAAATAATAATAATATTATTTTATCTTTGTCAAATTAGTCAAATAGTAAATGCTTAACCAAAATTGTTAAAAGAAAGGCTAATATGCCTTTAAATCATGAGAAGGAACATAATAGATTAAATCAAAGTTCACTTTTGTTTTGGGGTGGAAAAAGCAATAATTGTAAGGGACAAATTCAGAAACCTCTCCTGTAATTTTTGACTATTTCATTTAGCTGCCTCAAAGTTTTAAAATCACACTTACCTCCCTTGATTTGATACTTTTGTTAATCAAACCTTGAAATAGGGTCAAAATTTAATGAATATACTTAAATGCCTTTATATTATAAAGTTTAATTCATTCTTCTAAACAATTGCAAAGTACTTTGGCACAATTACAAAAGGAATTAGTGTCAAGATTTTTATATCAATATTTGTTGTTTGATAATCAACTATAACAACAACTTTAGTATTATAATAGACTACTTTTTATAGCGCTTTATGAAGGATATATATATTTTTTAAGATGGAGAAGAAAGGATATCTTGATTTTTTAAACGTTTATGCACTAGTTCAACGGTGAAACTATCATAGTTTGATGGCAATTTTAGACCATTTGTTTTTAGGTTGTTGTTGATTTATTCTTGATTGTGATACTAAAAAAAAGAGTTACAAAAAAATGGATGATATTAAAAATTAGGAAGAATTACAGTTTTGGTTCCCACTCTATATCCCATGCATATAACTAGTCTCCAATCTATTTCACAAATAAATTTGGTCCCCAATCTATCCAATTTTGCATGAAAGTGGACAATTGATGGATTTTCTTCAATTTTTTCTAGAACCAGGCCACGTGAGATCACATGTTGACACTTAAAACAGCTATTTCATTTTTTTTTTAATGTGGAATGATATGAACTCAAATCTCCAAATTCCCGCTCTTGAAGAAATGAATTGCACAGGCAACGAAAGAATTTATCTTGAACAAGTTATGGACAAAATTGGATGGATTCTAATCCAATCAAGGACC